GAAAATTAAAATCACTGATAATACTAGGAGAAAATATATATTCATCAGTATATCAGGCGAAATTACCTACGACAATAGTGCATATTGAAAGTACGCTCGTTAACTGATTTTAATTAAATAGTTTAGACCCTATGTGATAAGTAGCGGGATTATTAAATTAGCAATTAACAAGCAACAAGTCACTTTTAATTGTTTTTAAGTGATTTATCAATCAAGTTCAATTACCCTATAGTTTGAATGCTACAATCAATAACTAAAATAATAAAAAAATCACCAAAATTCATCACGAAGAAACTCTAATTGGATAAAAACTCAGAGTACTTTGCCGTCAGTAATCTACTATAAATTGAAACAAATTTACAGTATGGTTCAGACCTGTCTATCTCGTAGAATTTCTGACCTCAGTTCCCGCAGTCTCCCTTAATCCTATTGGAGGTGCGCTCCTTAAAAAAAAACCCCGACTCCTGGTTTATAGCTTAATCCTCCTGGATTGCATGTTGCGACGTCAGATCCTGACTCCAAGTACCTCATCTCAGCTTGAATTTGTGCTTCTTCTTCTTGTTATTTGATCTAACAATCTTTATGTCTTGATCAGTGGTTTAATGTCTATGGACATGAAAATAAATGGCTTAATGTATATCTCAATTTATGGAACAATTTATGGTTCAAGGAAATATCTTGGCTTGGAAAGATTTTATGAGCACAATGATACGGTGGTTGAATCTAGAGATCAAGAAATGATGATTTGGATCTTCAATGAACGATCTCTATGAAATAATATGATTCAACACATTTTGGGACATCCATGGGGTTAAACATTTATAGGAAAAAGTATTTGTGATGAAAATGGATTGAAAAATCAAGTGTTTTAAAGCAAACATGATTCTAGACGTCGACCCGTCGCTAGAACGCTAAGCTGGCGACACATCTGTTGCTCAAGCGTTAGTCTATCGCTAAGCGAGCGACAAGGAATTTATTTCTGCAATTCAAGTGCTGACTGGGCGACGGGCTAGCAAAATGCTTCCTACTCGATTTCAACTTCTTCACATTCGAATCTTAATCTTCTTCTTAGACTTCTTTTTGACTCCATCAACCCCATACTAATTTTACCATAATTTGGACTTTTCTAACTTAATTTGACTTTGACTACAATATAATTGAAGCCTATACAAATCTAATAAATTATGATTTTTGCCTTGGAAAATTGTCAATTACAAAATAGACTTTACACATAATCATCAATACATGCTTGTCAACAATATTTTCATAATTTTATTTAATGTAAAAAAATATCTTGGTAAATTTAATTATTGAGATATTTTTTTATTAATTACCAATGACGAAGAACTCTAGAGTAATGTATAATTGTTGACAATATATTTATTTGTTTTTATATTACTTATAAGCGTCAAAATTTTCATAAATAAATTAAACTTACTCTGATAAACTTTTAAAAATCTAATTCAGAAAAGTTAGTTGGTAAAATTATTTAAAATGAAATTGTTTTAAAAAAATAACCGTGCCACCGTCCACTTTAGTTTACACTTTGATTTACACTATATCATGCGGCATGATCTACACCGTCAATGAATTTAAAAACGCACATCACATCGTTGCACAAATTCACTTCGCTTAGAGGGAATGTCATTGATGATGTACACCAAAGTATCAATCATGCTACCGTATACCTTTTTTAGATTATTATTTATATTGTGTCACGTGACAAAACATCATTGAAAAAAATACTTTTTCTGTCGACAATTTATAAAAACAAAGAAGATATCATTTTTCAATGTATGGAAAAGTAACATTATTGACCAAAGTGTACATATTGCATAATTCATAACATTATGGATCTTAGCCGGCTACCTATTCTAGCTCTGTGCGTAGGTACTGCATCTTAAAATACCAAATAGTATGCTATATTTTGCTCTTGAGTGAGCGAATGTGGGTCCCATTTAATTTATGCGTTCATTATGTTTTATCAGTACCATTTTTCAAAACATTGTTTTCTACAGTAATCAATCTCCACCACACATTCAAATAATAAAATATTCTACACATAAACCGATAAAGTTTCTTTCAATTTTAACCACACATTATCCAAAAAATACTATTCATTACACCATTTTCATCACAATAATGATAGACAAACAGGCACTATATGAAATTATATAATTAATTTAATTGTACCTTTAAATTAATGACAATTATGTAACTTAAATTGATATTGTAACATGGTCAAAAACTTATCATCTAATCTTCAAAACAAATATATTCAAAAATTTAAATTAATTTAAGTTTGACTAATGCATCCACGTGTAACATTAAGCCAGTTGACTGAAGTCCACTTTGAATTATCTACCAAACCAAATCCCAATCCTTATCGATTTCCTCAATGGATAGATATTGAAATCGACAAATTTTCTATTAGAAAGTTTTTTTTTTTTTTTTTTGAATTGTTACTTAAATGTCTATTAAAATGTTTTCCATTTTTAATTCCTTTAATATTTGAAAATGCGTTGTGTTTTTAATAACATAAAAGTAAAACTTCAAATCTTATGATTTGCTATTTCCTCTAGATCCAATGGTGATGGATAGATTAAAATTAAATTTTTAGCATATTTTGATAAAAATCAATGAAATGAATGGTTGAAAGTTGCGGATCCTATGAAATATATGGTTAAAATTAATTATTGATTTTTACTTAAATTTTTTTTTTATCAAACTTTAATCTACACCAAACATGAATCTAATTATAATTTTTTTTCACCATTTTTTTAGACGAAAATTGTCCATTCAACAAAAAAGACTAAAACTCAGTAGGGCATAAGTAGTCCAATTTTGAACAGTTTTGACATATATTAAAATCAAGTTGTTTAAAACAATATGAGAAAGATTCAAATCTAAACCTAACAAATTGGTTAGGTTTTAAATCGAAGTTTCTTTGTGTATTTTTTCTTCTCGATCAATTTTAACATTAGTTTTTTAATAATTTTTAAGATGATAATTTATCAATATGATTATGATCCATGTCCAATTTAGAAAAGTTTTTGGCAAAATTTTAAATTTTTTATGTTTACTTTTTAAATTTATAACAAGATGATTTGATCTGATTTCAAGTTGTTAAACTATTTTTTTACCATTTGACTTGATTTTTCATTTTTCATTTTCCATTTCATATATTTATTGTTCATGAAAAAGAGCCCAATTCGAAGTTGATTTCTCTTCCGTCTCAAAGTACACAACCGACATTCTTTAATAGTTCCAAGGGGCAAAAGATAGATACATATAATACAATTCTGGCATCATCGGTCAAACGGTGTGAATTTGGCTATACTAGTCTCTTCTTCCTTGTTTCTTTTGCATCCTACCTTCAATTAAAGCAAACAAAAAGCAATTTCTTCTGCAATTTTTTACGCAGATTGTCGATATTTACTGCTTAAAAGTGACCCTGGTGACCTGGTGTGTGTGTGTGTATGTGTGTGTATACAGAGAGAGACAGAGCACTGTTACATTGAACAAGTTTCAAGTTTGATGTGCTATACAAAGGCCGTACAGGTTGGTGTGTGTGTATATAGAGAGAGAGAGAGAGTCAGAGAGAGCACTGTTACATTGATCAAGTTTCAAGTTTGATGTGCTATACAAAGGTGGATGTACAGGTTGGTCTTTGAAGTTATATGTATTTGGAATTTGGATCTTGTTAATTTGATCAGTTGGGCCGGTACATGTTCATATTATCAAAGATGGCGAATCCAGGATACACTGGTGAGTTTTTCAGATTTCCGGTGGTATCAAGCAATAGCGAAACCACCACCACCACTACCCCCACCACTGCTCAGCCTCATCAATTAACACAATCATGGGAAAGAATGCAACAACCAGATTTTCTACTGTCGGGGGAACCCTTGCTTTTGGGATTCGGTCAGACGAGGGAGATGCCGGCGATGGTACCGACGTTAGCCGTCCCGGGACAGACGTACGGCGAATGGAACTTTAATCCTGATCCAAGTGGAACTGTTGGCTCTATCAATATTCAGTATCCGCCTTCGTCGCCTTATTCTTCCTCGAGTTCTGGCTCTTGGGCGGCTGGACAGAAGAGAAGACGTGATCAAGATGATAGTGTCACTCAGTTTCCAGAGCAAGTCCAGAGGATCTATGGCGGGTCTCGAGAATCATCATTCTCTGTCAAAACTGGTTAGTTTTGATAAATACTGTTTTATCTTAAAAGTTTTCAACTTCAGGGTTGATGATGTTCAAAATTGACATCACCAGTGCTACGAACAATACAGTTCGAAACACACTCAACGATCGAGTAAAAAGGGATACCATATGATTGCATGTGAATTAACATTGAATTGACATTTACTTTTGTCTGAAATCGGTGGCCGGCACTAATAGTAATACCTTTTCATTCTTTTATTTTTTTATTTGGGTTCCAGAGGTGGCAGAAGCAGGCGGTACAAGCGTTGAGCCACCACCTACCACCACCGAGGAACACCAGACACCGCCACCAGAAACCTCAACAGAAGAACGAGGAGAGAGAAGAAGAAAATATAGAGGGGTAAGGCAGAGGCCATGGGGGAAATGGGCAGCAGAAATAAGGGATCCACACAAAGCTGCAAGAGTATGGCTAGGCACATTTGAAACAGCAGAAGCAGCTGCCAGAGCATATGATGAAGCTGCACTCAGATTCAGAGGCACCAAAGCCAAACTAAATTTCCCTGAAAATGTAAACTTGCCACCACCAACCACCACCCTAGCGGCGGCACAACCACTACCACCCGCATTCTTCCAAAATCAACCTTTTCAAATATATGAAACTACTAGGGACTACAGGGGATACTCACAATTACTTCAAAATACTGCTGATTTCCAACATCAACAACCCACAAGCTTGTTAGAACAAATGCTCTATACTTCATCAATGGCTGCTGCTGCTTCATCGTATCCTCTGCTGCAATTCCCCAATCAACAACAGACAACTAATTCACAGACGCAAGGAAATCAAACTCAAGAAAACACACCAAATTATCCTGCACCACCACGGACCAGTTCTACCATCCATCCTGCATATCCTAGTTAAATTTATGTACTTTTTTTTTCTGCTTTTTCCTTTAGATTTTTGGTGGCCATGTGAAGTTTATGCTTAATTATTTATTGTAATTTTCTTCTTTTTTTATGATTATAGACATGTAGATAAGAAAAGATTATAGATTTCTAGATGAGATTTGTACGTTAATCTTGTAAGGAAACATGATCAACTTGTCAAAGGTCTCTTTTTTGTTTTTCAGGTTGTATTTAATTCAAATTAAATTTTCAACTTATTGTCGCCAATGATTTTAATCCAATTTTCAATTGTTTGCCGACCATAAGCACGCCTATTGGTTAAAATATATTTGTTAATTTTGATAAATCTACTAATGTGCGAGAAGTCAGGGTTGTTAACATGTTTATTTATCAATATCATTGAATTGATTGTTAAATTTACAATCAACGGTCGAATTTCAATCTATGACTCTCTATCATTGAAGCCGTAAGTTTATTCATTCATGTAACTCCATTTAAATTCATCGAGATATTATCGTGGTGGTTGGTTTTGTATTTAGATCAAATTTTATTTTATTTAGGTTAACATATATGTTTTTTTTTTCCTTTTTTTTGACAAAATGATACATTGATTCGATTGAATAAAATATATAGTAAACAATTTCTTTACGATAAACTGAAGTTCAACGGTTCATTCTTTCAATTCTTTAATAACTATCGTTAATGACTTTCTATTTCCCTAAAATATAAACATAATGATCAAGACGTAACAGTTTGTACCATTCCTCTTAATAACATTAACCTTTTAAGATGAAATTTCAATATACAATATAGTACTACTGATGATTCGTACCGTATAACTAGTACTTCGATCTGTCCACGAGTAAAAAATCATTATTCTTAAATGAGCACTTTTTAAAAGTATTTACCTTCTTATAGACAAATCATATGCCACCCACCAAAGAGATTTGTAGTGGATGAAGTCATAATAATTAATATGTTAAATTTTTGTCTAATTTTGCCGGGGTCCTTAGCTTAAAATGGGACGAGGATTTTAATGTAATTGCTTGATGGTGACTTATTAGAATGCACCTTTGATGTCATNCCACAATTATTTTAATCACCGTGGGCCCTATCTCTTTTGAGGGGCGTGTACATGTACATTTAGCATTTTTCTATAATGAACGTAGGAAGAAAAGAAATGAAACATCACAATTTCAATATAATTGTTAAATCGAGCACGTCTGAGTTTAAGTTAAAATTTTCTTTTTCAAAAGTGAGTTAGTTTTTATTTAATTAAAATTATCAAGTCGATTATACACGATATGGACATGCTAAGTGAACAGATGAAATTATTTACCTAATAATACTTTTTTATAAATAAAAAAGTAAAAGTTTCTGAAGTAAGAAATAGTGTGTGGATTTGTTCTAAACACAGTTGAGATAAATTATTTGACAACATAATATTAAAACATTTAAATGAACCAAATATCCCAAATAAATAAATAAAACGTATTTCTCATAGTTTCTTAAAACAGAAGTTTACGTATCAAACAAGGATTGGTTGTCACTTTCTGCCTCTATAATGTCACTTGAAATGGATAAACGAAAGTTTTTTTTTATCTTGTTGATGAGGTCACAACCCACGCGGTGTAACACGTGACTTTGGGTGGAAATTGCGATAGAATATTAAATGTCCAAATAAATAATTAAAAAAAAAAAAGACAAAATTTCTAAGGTAATAATACTATTTAGTTCATAGTATAACTTAGATTGGTAGGTGCTATACTTTTAAAATACGTGTCAAAACTATGTGTCGACCTAAACGCTCAGTTCAGATTTAAATATGAATCATTGGTTAATGATTTCTACTTTCGAAGATCCAACAAAGGAAAGATCGTAGTGGGACCTATCCAGCCCAATCAGAGCTCCGAACTGCTCTAATTTAACTTTAAAGGAAGCTAGATTGATTGAAATCAACAACATATTCACATAATAATGGATTGTATCCATAACATTTTTTCTATTGCATGCATTCTTATCATTAACCTTCATTACCTATCGTCGATGATGGTTTATCTTCGAAAATTTGATTAAAAGATCGTAAAAAGACTTATTGATACAAAATTGGACTAGATATTTGTCCCATCGTGTTACAACACGCACGTTGACAAAAAATTTGGTTCAAAATCATCATTAAAGACAAGATTTACTAATTAGTTAAATGTTAAGAATAATAATGTGATAATAAAATTAGAGACAAAAATGTGATATTGAATAGAGATTAAGGACATTAAAATTTGTTGCTTTTATAAAAATGTCACGTGAATAGAACCATCCTTAAAATTCAACTTTTTTATTTTGACCAATAAAAAGTCTTCTTTACCCTCGATTTCCTTATTTATTACTTTTAAATAATTTTTAAGCTTATCCGAACATCCTCTCCAGTTGGTCTTCTTATCAAATTTTAATACGACTATTGTGAATGACCAATTTGATTCATTACTCGATACATAGTACCAATTGTCAACTCGAATTAACTTCCCATTTATCTTTAATTTTATTTATTTAAAGTTCACCAATCACGTAAAATATATTCAAGCTCTAAAAGAACGTTTAAGAAATTAGTGGGATACGACTCTCAAAGTAACTAGTCTCGACCCATGGTCTTCCTCCACCCGACATTGCTCCATCAAGTTTTCGCTCATTAGAGGAGTCTAGATCATGTCACGACTCCCAATTGCCATAGCAATGTAAACCACCGACGTGATTAACGAAAACTACAACAACCGCTACAATCACTTATTGATAAACTTCGTGTAGATATACTGTGTATCAAGAATGAATAATGCGGATTCAGTTTGAATAAAAGAAAAAAAAATGTTAATCCAAACACTAAAAGCAATGGAAAATTAATTAAATTTACAACCAGATACTTCAAATTTGGGAGCAAATAAATAACAATCACACAAGAAAACTTATATATGAGAAGGGAGTTAATTACACAAAGAATGAAGCCAGTATGAGAAAAATCAATCCATGAAAAAGCACACCATTACACAATGGAGACCAGATTAACGTTAGAGGGGAAGAAAAAAGATGAGGCACTTTCCCCAGTCTTCCCACATAATTGTAAAGACATTTCTGTTCACCGTTTCGTCAAAAATAGATTCGACAAATCCATTCAAGAAAGATGACATGATAAAAACAAAATTTGGTGAACGAAATCAAATCCACTTGGCATAGATCACCTCATAGATGGCATCTTTCCTCCCGAAAATCGGAGAGCATCAATAGATTATCCAAGTGGACAGCTCCTTCCAACTACTATTACATGTCACCACTCAATCGATATATGCCCCCTACCGGTCCTTTTGTGCTCATTGGTATTCTTCTTTAGGAGTAGCATGACTTTTAATTTCCATGACATTTGAATTTGTGCCAACGACCTCGGTTGCGATCTCCCAGCTACCACTACTTCTCCCCCAACTCGAGTGCCATGTGTCAGGTTGCACAGCGGGGCCTCGTCTATCAGAACCGAGAGCAGAATCAGCCTCCGACGAATTATGATGTGGCACATCACTCCCTCTGCTACGAATATCAGCTTCTATGTCTTCAATATTATGACGCTGGGAGATCTTTAAAAGATCTCCACCTATGTCCATATCATCTTCTACCTTCATGCGACGGTCACCTGTATCTTCTGCTTCAGCTTCCCGGGTGGCAGGAAAAGTTGTTGATCTTTGGGCCTCCTCTTGTACAAAGGCTCGGAAGTTGTTCTTCGAAGGTTTCACCTTCGTACAGAACACTTCGAGAAAGTTATTTATACAACCATGATCATAAACATTGATTCGGGTATCAGCTCTATATCGGAAATTCTCGTAGGTTGTCTGTAAAAAGATGAACAGGAATAAGAAGTTTAAGAATGAAAAAAGTGTCAAGGAAAAGTAAACATCCACACATACATTCAGAAATCCAATTAGGGTTTGAAACAGCGGATGACAGTTCCATATATCCCATCATTTTAAAGAAATGAACTCGTCAATCCAGAAACCTATTAAAGAATTAAGTTTTACACTTTATGCCCATTGCTATCAATCAAGTATCAATAAACACAACAGTTCAATAAGAATACACACAAAGGCACGGTCGTTATTCAGAAACTCGGTGCAATATTTAGTAAAAAAGATCCTGAGGATGAACTTCCAAAATTATATCTGGCTAGTTATGTACCATGAATTTGTCTTTTTCTTATCTGTTTACCTAGATGACAAATACAGAGGGGTAAGTTACGAGATAAAAAATGTGGGCAAGGACTATCTTATGGAGAGGGTGGTAGATGTCTCATTCACTATCTTAAATCGCTAGCATAACACATGGTAACTTGAAAGAGTTATAAGGTACATTAGCGATATTATACATGTACAATAGTCTGTCACCATGAACAAAAGGTTATACAATCAACAATCTTTTTATCTTTGTACCAAGACTTGAAAGTGTTGACATACAAAAGTGTAGTCCAAATTAAATAGCCCAACAGAAAGAGTTCACTTTGTGTAGCTTTCCAAACAGTAAAAAAATTTCCGTTACAAGGTTTTCTGCATATTTCAAACAATTACCGAACACCCAATTAATATCTAATTTCGCAATGCAACATTCATAAATTAATCTGAAATATTTGGCATCGTACCAGCAAAATTTTCCCCGTACAAGTCAAACACGAGACTCGTACAAGACCATATAAAATTTTCAGAAGCAGCTTACGGTAAAGTTATAATGTTCCTCAGTTCAAACCTAGTCTACTAATTACTAATTAGGATTCATTAACTGTATTTAGGACTTTGATTTGCTGGCTGGTCTCCCAAACATAAAGTTGGCAACAATTACTCAAATTTAGAAATCTCTTCTTGAATAGTAATCTAGCGTAGCTTAAAAAATTTAATTTCTGATGTAATTTGAGCTCACGAGATTTCACTGTCAAGTGGCTCATGTGTTGCAACAATGTGAGGTTTTCAGAATTAGCGTAATTTTTTCTAGGTTTTCTTTGTTTAATCTGGTTGATTCTGGTTATCAATTAAACCCCTTCTCTATCCTAGTGCACCTTAGTTTTCAATTTTTGGAGCTTGAACCATTAACAAAATTTCAACATGTATAAACTCAAGTAAAATCCTTCAAATTTCTCCACTAAAATATAATGTCAACATAAATTGCTGTACAGCACCTTATATCAAAATAAGCGAGGTATCTTCCGTCAATTAATTTTTAAAGTTAATTCTAGTCATCCTTCTATAGCATTTTCTTTATGTAAAAGGCTTTGTCTACAATATTTTTGCGAACATACACATAAATGGAACACTTCATGTAAAAGGGAGACGCAAACAGAGAATTAGAAATTATGCCCTTGTTTGAGCTCCATTTTTTCCATCAAAATGAATCCTTGAACGGTGATTTGACTTCATTTTAACCACACATTCTTCAATAAAATAATATTACACACAAATTCAAAACTTCTCCTTATTTTTTAACCACGCATTCTCCATTATACACTATTGCAAAATGCATTTTTGGAAAAAAAATGGGGTTCAAACAAGCCCTATATAAAAAGGACGGTCAACAAATACAAGGAATTTTTAGACACAAAACAAAGATAGTGAGGGTAGGAAGCAAATTTTAGATGTCATTACTTCTAACCAACAACCAACATAAAGTGTGATGAAACCGGCATAAGGAACAATGGAAATTAGGATAACTACTGAAGGCACTAGGCAACAACCACAACTAAAAACATCAGTACCACCAAAAAAAAAAAATCTATTGAGAATGGACTGCAAGGGAAAAAAGATAGGAGTGGGAGAAAATTAGCCTAGATGAATGGGGGAAAAGGAAGTTATTTCCATACTCTTCCATTTCTGTGTCTAAATCATACATTCACAACCAGACCGAGAAAAGCTCTCCAGAAACGTATAATGCTCTTTTCCTTGGTTAACCATTCTGGGAAAAAGAGAACCTAGATAAATGGAGAAAGGTAGTTATTTCTGTACACTTCCATTTCTGTGTCTAAATCATACATTCACAACCAAGAAAAGCTCTCCAGAAAGGTATAATTCTCTTTTCCATGGTCACCCATTCTGAAACACTCATCCCAGCTCCCGCCCCCCAACCATCAAATCGGGAAAAAAGAAGTGAGGAAGTAGCTGTTTCACTTTCACCAAAGGGTAAAACAAACTTCACCCATACTTTTTTTCTCTCTTTATTGCTACAAAAAATGTAGCCAAGATACCAAGTTTAACACACCATAAGCAACAGTGGAACTGGCACAAATCTAAAAGGCAGGCAGACAGAAAAGAAAGTGTACAAATAATATTAGTATCAAAGTGTCTCCATAATATCTTGTTTAGACATTGCCAATCTCAAATCAACAAATATCCCATTAACTAGCATAAAACATGGTGACAGACTATCACACATCTATAAGAGAAGAGTTGTTGCAGGGCAACAATAACTACACATTTAACTAGAAATAGTACCATATTCTAAATAGTTGACGGAAATCTCTGACAAACAAACCAATGGCAAAGCTAGTATTAAACAAGCTAAGCAACCTCATAATAATGAAAGAAATTTAACACCTAACAGACAAGAAAAAAATCTCTACAGACAAACCAATGGCTAAGCTAGTATTAAACAAGCTAAACAACCTAATAATAATGAAAGAAATTTAACACCTAGCAGACAAGAAAAGTAACTGACCTGATTCGAGCTTATCAGATACAAGTGAAAGCCAGTTAGTCCACCAACAAACCACAGGGAAATAAAACAATAGACCATTAAAATCACAGATGCAGGAGATTCTTTCATTGCCTTCCAGACTGTGCTCTGATAGTCATCCATCAGAACCTTGATGTAAAAAGCAGATATGGCAAATACGTAGATGCAAAGAAGTGTAGCAGAAGCAACAAAACAAAAGAAATAGCGGTAGTTCCGCTGCACATTCAAGGGAAGGAAAGTACGACAAGAATCAGTTAGGGTAATGGTGCAAGAAAGCAGCTAAAAAATGAGAGACAAAACAAGTAAAAAATGTCAAGGAGAAGCAGGAGCAAGAGAAAAAAGAAAAGAAAATAACGTTATCAGTCACATGTGAAATCATACCAATCCTATACACTGACCCACCCAAGGGCAGTGGTGATCAAAATGCTCCACACAGTTGTTACAAATGGAGCAGTGCGAGCAACGAGGAGGGCGATACAGCATGCAGGTATCACAGTATTTAACTTTGACAGGGATCCCATTAACCATTACTTCTTTCGTTCGAGGGAAATGGAGGTTTGGTGTTTGTCTTCCACCAACCTCCATCGACGCTGAAGATTCATATCGAACCTCTTCTGGTGGATGTGAATTACGGGGAACAATACCTGGATCCCGAGATGATGTACGAAGAAGAAGCACCAATACCTATCAAAATGAAATAAGGAATTATACCAGTGACACCTAACTTTAGTTTATTAAAAGCAGATGACTACCTTAAACATTCTACTCAAAATTATATACTGCAATATCTAACTTAGACAGCTCACAATAACTTAAGTGTCCTTCCACTACAATCTAAGCAGCCATGCAGCAAAGTGCACGGAATCACCTAAGACATCCTATGCACCCACATTAGACGGTACTATTAAGAATATTTGTGGTCTTTCCTGTATTCCTTGTCATGCTGTATACAAAAAGACATTATATGTAAGAGTGAGAGGTCGGTAGTACAAAAATAAAATGCTCTTCTAGGCCTTCTTCCTTTTGTATGAACTTTACCATCTTTATGCTAGCATAATTAAGAGAACAAACTGACCCAATCAATCGAACAACCCAAACAAGCTTAAAAAGCTATCATTTTACAGTCCAAATCAGCAATGCACTGCAAGGACTTAGCTATATCAAAACAAGTGCTGGAACAGTAACATGACATCATCTGCCAGCTTGACTCGTATGAAGTTTAGAAGTAGTTACAAGGTCATTTATTTTATTCTATTTTTATGGGAGTTAATGAGTCCAAGATATAGCTCAACTTCTGAGTTAACGTTCCCTGAGCGTCTAAGGTTGTCAGGAGCTCATTTGATGAGAGTTCAGAGCATTCAGAATCTTCTGGTCTTTGTTAACTGACCAGCATGCTAGAGCCAATGCACATACATGCTGAGAGATGACTTTAAGTTGTTCAAGCATCAATTATAAGGTTTCTTAGGTGTTAAAAACAATTTAGTGGTTCTAGTCTCAAATATAAATATTAATGTATTCATGTAAAGATTGAATTTTAGTCCATGATCCACTGGTTCATAGTTTATCAGGTGTGCCAAGTTCAAATTCAAAGAAATGGAACCAAATTGAGCATATACTATCCCAAATACTACCAGTTAGTTAAATAGTATAAACTATATCCACTGATCAATGGCTAGCAAGTCCATCTGAGATCATTCGAAATTGAACCATCTGACTTTGTTAATAATAGGAAGGTAAAATTAAGATAAAAAGACACCTATCATGAACACAAAATACACATTGTTTTCACAAATCCTAGTGGTCACACCCTCTAGCTTGAAATAGCCTGATCACCTCTGGGGTTTTAGAATCCAGAAAATTATCCCCAATCACTGAGTTGTTTTCTCACTGATTGACTTGGACTCTATGTACTAGATTCACATCCTTTACACTTCCTTCGCTGGCTCCAGCATTTGGAACTAGATTCAAAGCTTCCTCGAGAGCATTTGCACTTACTTTGCATCTCTTACAAATTCATACCTTCTACCATGAACTATGCCTTCCTTAAAGACCTATAACCTAGTTTACAAGTATTTTGAGTACTTGAAAAAATGGAAACACAGAACCCATCAATCTGTGCCAATGAGGAAAAATTAACAATTAGGATGTCAATATAACCTTACCCATATAAGTAATGAGTGACTAGGTAAGCCTTAATAATCCATACATCAGCAAAGAAATTAAGGCATTTTCATAATAATTAAAGCAAAGTCAAGAACCAAGTAAAGGATTTGGGGAACTAACATAAATAGTGAAGATGATTGCCACAACCAGAATTGCATATCCTGCATTATATGATGAAAACTCATGGCGAAGATGCCTAGCAACGAAAACACAAAAGATAATGACAGGGACGATGATTAGCATTAAGGTGGCAAGCATTGACCTAGCATCAGGGCCAAAAATCAACCTCCCGCCAAGAAAAAATTTCTGCAAAGATAGATAACAGATATGTCATATACAAAAAACACATATATAGTTCATCACAAGTTTGCTATGTCAATTAAATATAACTAAAAGTCAAACGACTTAAATTAACAGGTTCTGCAAAAATAATTGTAGCAGAAAGATCAAGCATATGCAACATTTGTCTCATTGAATATCTGAAGTCACAACTGAAAACTTGATGAATTTCTGCTTCTCCAACCATAAACTGCAAGTATTTCAGTTATCATATTTGGTCTCTCAGCAGTAAGAGGTTAGGAATAAGACCTCCCCCTATTGGGCAAATAGAAAACTATATTTAATAAAATTTATCCCATCGTCAAACATGTAGGAGAAACAATCAGTCCAAGAACTCAGTGTCATTTCACCCCAGCCCACGGACACACGCACGCACGCACGCACACAAAAGAAGAAGAACAATTCGGCAACTCATAGACTGTAGCCATCATACAGATTAACTTTTACTTGGTCCAATTCAGAGGGGACCATTTCACCCACCCCCAAAAGGAAGAACAATTCGGCAACTCATGTATTGTAGATGTCATCTTTTTCAGGTGACAAATATATCTTTTGCATGGCTCCAGTCACTAAGCACCACAGGTATTAGCTATGATAGCCAGTTCTTACATCCGTTCTGCCTCCCCCAACCAACCCCTAATAGATACGCCTATTTAAGATTCCATTCCCGGTTCCTGTTCTCCAACAAAATAACAAGAGTTTAACATAAGCCCTTGTTTGGTCCCCATTATTTCTGAGATACATTTTTTTCTCTTACTTTCAACCATAAATTCTTAAAAATATATATATTATACGCAAACCCAAATTTTTTTCTTATTTTTTAACCACACATTCTCCATCAAAATACGATTCCAAAATTTATTTTGTTGAGAAAATGGGGATCAAACAGGCTCTAAGATTCACTCTAGATTCATTTTTCGAATAGCACGCCAACTCTTCTTAAAATTGTCCATAGCTAGAAAAGTAGGCATCTAAGCAGAATCAGCACCCCACCCAGAGACCCAAAAAAAAAATGCATATACCACCTTTGGGCAGTATAAAGTCATTTGCAGGTTGAATTCGTTTTACATCAACGGCAGGTGTGCATAATTTTCATTAATGGTGATTGCGATACTTGAACTCATGAACTCCGTACCCGACTCCAATATAATGTTCAACCAACTCATCTAAAAACTTAATAAAGAGGAGACACATTTATTTATTTCAACATTTCTTATTACAACAGTTTACCCCACGCGATAAATAACCAATATAACACAATAGAAGTTTTTTTTTTAATTACCCATTCGATTCCACAACCTTTTAACTCTGCTAGGTTCATACCCACTCCTACGTAATCGAAATTAATGTCAAAAATCTACTGGTTTCAGTGCGAATAGGCAGTGAAACTCCCCAGAGATATGCTAACGAATATTAAAGAACAATTTATGCTAAACTAAAAACTTTAATAATAAGAACCCACAAAAAATTAAGCAAAACCCAGAAAATCTGAACCAAAACCAGATTGTAAAAAGTCTCACATTTCTTCCTTTCCAAACTTCATGCACGCGCTTAGCCATCTGGAAAGTAAGAAGGAAAAGAAACGGATACACGCCCACACGCTGTTCTCTGCTAAGCTGGGAAGCAGTTGAAGATTCGGAACTTGCAGTAACTGTTCATCCCTCCCCTTTCACGAAAAATACCACGGTGAGGGTGAATCTTTTAGCGTATTAAAAATTCCTATTAACAGCTAATACTGAAATCGTTGACGGGATAAGGTGAGTTGGCAAAATTTTGGTCGTTTTTGTGGGTTTTCTTTTGAGATTTTTCAAGAGAAGAATGCATAGAGGTAGCTGGAGTTTTGAGGGTCTACGGTTTTGTGATCCATGGGTGTTGGATTTGGAATTTGGAGGCTTACAGAGTCAGTATTTTGATGGAATGTTTATGGAAAAAAACACTAGTTTAATAATTTTCTCTTCCTGTGTCACCAGTTGGACTAGTGAAAGAGAGAGGCAGTAATTAATTCCATCCGTTACTAAAAATAATTACAATTTCAAATTTCTTAATAGCAATTAAAGTTATATTCAGTGTATACATTTTGAATTTTAGTTATAATAATTTAATGTTGTATTGGGCTTGAATTTATACTAAGGCCGTGTTTGATAGATCACATTTTTCGGGGAAGTAGGAAAATATTTTCCACTTTCCACTTTTTTGGCTGTTTGATAGGGATATTTTCCACGGAAAATATTTTCCGGATTTTCCCCACACGTGTGCATTTTCTGGG